GGGTTGCAGATGCTGGCGTGAGTGCTGCTGCTGGGTCCCAGGGGATGTGAGGGGGCGGTGACAGCCTCTGCTGTGATTACCTCCCAGAGTGGGGGGCTCACTACCTCCCTCTTTCAGTAAGTGGAGGCACCCACTCACTGTGCCTGTCTCCTCTCTCCTTGGCACCTCCCAGCATGCAGCTTCAGGCCCTCCAGGGAATCAGGAGGGGCTGGTTTCAGGTACCTCCTTCACTTGCCGTCCCCCTGAGGATTGAGGTCAGACTCTGGGGGGGACTTCCGTGCACACAAGGCTCAGGGGGATAGGTGGGCCTCAGCGCCTCCGGGTACGCGCGTGCTCGCTCCTGTCCCTGCCCTCTCCCTGTGGGGTGGAGGGAAGGAAACCTCCCGTCCCGGGTGCTGGATCGAAGTGGGCAGCTGGATCAGCAGGGGCGGAAGGCAGGGCTGGCGGGGAAGAGGCACAGAAACAAAAAGGGGGCCACAGAACAGAACCTGGGGGGCAGGGAGGCGACAGGGTCAGAGAGGAAAACAGGAGGACACGGAGAGGAGGGCACAGGGAGAGGAAACCTGGGGACTTCAAAACACAAGGCCGGGAGTTGGGAGAGAGAGACGGAGACGGGCAGCGGCCTCAGGATGTGCACGGGGAAAACGGGTTAAAAAGGCACCGGCCCGGCCGCTTCTGAGACAGCGCCAGGGACAGAAAGAGACTCAGCAAGAGAAACACGGGGCCAGGGTGAGAGGACAGGCGAGGAGGAGGAGGAGGAGGAGGAGGGGAAGGGGGGAGACCCAGAGGCGAGGCACAGAGAGAAACCGGCAGAGGAAGCCGATTCAGACAAAAAGGACAGAGAGGGCAAGGAGGAAATAGAAATGCAAGACGAGGAGGGAGGGCGGCGGGTTGGTGGGGGGGAGTCTTGGGGTGGGAGAGTCACAACCCGGCGCCCCTCCCCCGCTGGGGTCAGGCGGGGTCCTCCCGGTGGCCTCTGCTGAGCCATGGCTAATGGTATGATTGCTTGGTGGCGCGGGAGGGGAAGGGGCGGCAGGCATTTGTCAGGGCGGTGACAAATGAGCCGCCTGAGTC